GGGCCCGGAGAAGGTGTCGTTGCTGTTGCTGTTGCTGCTCATCCCTCCCCCATCAACCAGATACCCGCGGGCGCGGTTCATGACGCCCCGGTGTGTTGCTTAAGGGAATGCTGCGGCTTTTACGCTTGCTTAAGGGTAACGACACCCCGAAATTCGTTTGGTGCGACACCTAGAAGGCCCTGGGGCGGTTGCTGTGATTTTTGGTAGGTCGACGCTGACCACGACCACCACCGCCTTGCCTCCTTGTACACCTTCCAAGGCCTCCATGCGCCCGATCGGGCAATTTCAACACGCAATTCAATTTGCATCTGAAAGAGCACGAAAAATAGTCCCTATAAAAATGGTTTACATTTTGTTATAGGGTCGTAGAGTATCACAGGGGCAAAAAAATTTGGTCTCCCCCTGCTAACAGTACAGAACCGCATTTTGAAGCCGCTGGAATGCAAGATGCCCAATTTTTAGGGCTACAACATGGCCGTTCTGTACCTGTGGACGGTTACAGTCACCGAATTGATGTTGATCCTACTTAGCAGCCTGTTATATATTCCGTTCGTTCGCCTGGTGGCGGCCAGCTCACAATTCCACCCGAATCTCATCCGAATTTTTGTCTTTTTGAGCTCGTCATTAGCGATTCATTCGTTGTCCCGAGCCATTTTGATGCTTTTCCAATTTGAAATCTTGCACAGATATGGTAAGTGATAAAGCTATAAAATTATGGGGGGTTTCAGTATCTCCATTTATCGATTGTTTGCTTTTCTCGGCTTCTATTGTCCGTGCATTTTTGGGCTCGATGGCAGCCCTTACGGTCCCGCTCATCATCATCGAGAGGTAAAGATTGATCATAACTGCTGGCTGGTCTGTTAGCGGGGGGAACCAAAATTTTCATTTGATTCTTTACGGCCCTATAACAAACTACAAACCATTTTTGTAGCATTTTACATAGTTTTTAAATAGAAAAACAAATAAAATACAAAAAAATTCGAAAATTTTTGACGTTTTGGTGAAAAATGTATGAAAAATAGTCAAAAAAGATCAAAGTTTCGCATTCTTAAAACTTAAAAAATAGTTTTTAAACTTTCTAGCAATCAAAAACTACTAAAGACGCTATAAATATACATAATATCACCGATCGATGGCTTGGTATAGCTGGAACAACAAAACGTGGTTTTCCCCCTGCTGAAAATCCTCCCCCTCCCCCGCTAACAGCCCAGAACCGAAAACTTCAAGCTGTGTGCGGTCGCGTCGCGTGTTCTATAGACAGCGGCGAGACAGCGACACGCAACGCGGCGCAAACTTTCGCGCGCGCGGTCGTCAACGTATCTTTCGTGCGCATCAAAGTTGTGTATTTTAGGATTTTTGCTACGTATTACATTTGGGACTACGAAGCGCAACCCCGGCTGTGGGTTTCGAAATGGCTGATCGGTTTCATGACGTTCGTATGTCTCGTCATCGGGACGGGCTTTTTGATAGGTATCTATTTTTTTAAGCTTCTTTAGGTGACAAGCTTTGTTTAATACAGATTTTCATAGCGTAACATATTCCTTTCGAGAATTCGCCATCGACCCCAAGGCGTGCGTCTACGGATTCGTCTCAATCTTGGGGGTTGTGGCCGTGCTGTTACAAATTGTAAGTTGGGATTTTTAGCCGAATTCAATCCAACTTTTCCAGGTCTACTGGCGGCTGTCCAGTCACACCGACATGGTGTTGTCCGCCCTGTCGTCGATGCTCTACGGCGAGCAGGGATATCTATCCGTGCGCTACCAGGTTGAGGAGAATATTCGAGTATTCCGGGTTTGCCATCGCCAAAGGCTACAAACTTCGTACTCCAGCTGATGCGGCGCTTCGTGGTGGCCAACTCGCTGTCGATGGTTGTCGGGATGGTTATCGCGTTTCTCTGCTTCTTTGCCCAGACGAACAGCCAGTGGTCGGAGATTGTCAAATGCTTTTTTGAGTTGTATATTGCTATGTGAGTTTTTGAGCACCCCACCCCCCTCGGCATTTGGCCGTCTTCCATCAGATCGGGACCAAATTTTTACCAGCGATGGGGATCTATAAAAACTATGTGCAGCCGGATTTTCTAAGCAAAGTATTGTAAAACAAAAAGTTATCGCTAAAAAAACTGATTTTTGGGAAACGCTGGTACTTATTTTTGGCTATGTTTTCCCATTTAGCATTCCCGATTTAGAGTAATTTCCGAAAAATGATGATTTTCGGGGTTTCTGCGAATTGTAATAATAAAAACTGATGCAAAGTCCCAATTTAGATGTAATTTTCGTAAATGAAAAAATCTTACGGGTGGAAAAAAGTGCCCTCTTCATTTTTGCTAAACATTTCGAGGTCGAAGTCCGTTAAAATCGTAGTGAAATCGGCAAAATAAACCTTAATTACTATATAACTTGTTTGTCTTACAATATTTTGCTTAGAAAATTTGGCTGCGTATAGTTTTTATGGGTCCCCACCGCTGGTCAAAATTTGGTATCGATCCGATAGAAGACGGCCAAATGCCGAAAGGGATACCTACTTATCACCTCACCCACACCAATTTTTCTGCAGCTATGTGCTGAACTTCGTCGGGATTTGCGTCCGGACAGTGCCGGAATGGCGTTGGCAATACCGTAGCCGACTGAATGGTTGTCTTCCGTATTCTGCACTATCTGGCCATCACCGTGTCCGTCCCTCACAAATCATCGTCATCCAGCCGTCAATGGAGGCCAAAGTGTATTTTGAGATTTACAATCGTTCGTGGTGAATGAATGAAAAGACTACGAACGGTGGCTATCGACGGGCTATGTGCATATAATTTGCATGGAGAGGGGAATGGAAGGCTAACATAAGCCCTTTCGGGGGGTTATTGAACAGGATGGGGGCCAGGTGCGGGAGGAAATTGCATCCATAGCAGTGACACACACACACACAACCACCCCAGCGGGGCAAGCCGCAATTTGTACATAGGCGGAACAATTGGGATGGAGGGGGAGGACGGTCAGGGTAGGGCTAGCAGGGAGCATTGTGGAAGGGAGGCTAGCTGAGGTTTTTGAGGATTTGAAGGCAGGCTAGCAGATATTTTTTGAGGAAATTGCGGGTTTGGGGCACGCTAGTAGAGATTCTTTGAGGAATTTCTGGGTTTGGGGCAAGCCAGCAGAGATTCTTTGAGGATTTTTTGGAGATTGGGGCAGGCTAGCAGAGTTTCCTTGAGGAATTAAGAGGCTGAAGCAGGCTAGCAGAGATTTTTTGAGGAATTGGAGCGTTGGGGCAGGCTAGCAGAGATTTTTTGAGGAATTTAAGGGTTTGGGGCAGGCTAACAGCCATTCCTTGAGGAATTTAAAGGCCGGCTAGCAGAGATTCGTTAAGGAAATGAAGGAAGTGGATCCATTTTCCGTTACAATACACATTCCACTCCCCTCCCCCCTTTTTCGACAATTTCGGCGCTGCAGAATATGGGGAATCGATGTGTTGTTGTGTAGTGAAGAGGGGGCGGGGGATGAATAGGCAAAGCTCCGCCCCTTTCTCGAATGCATAGATGTGTACACGGCACACCTATCGACACCCCTTCCCTCCCAATTCACTGCCACGATTTCACCATTAACTTACTTGATCGTGTTGTTAATTGGCTATGGCAATTTTGGGCCTACATGGCAACAGTCGGCTCCTCGCATTAATGGTGGGCCTTTTTATGTTTTTTTAAAGGGATTGGAAAACTTTAAAATCGATTAATACTGTGATGAAAGTAGAAAACCATTTTTAAATGGATAAGACGAATAGTCTCTGTTTCCTCTTGTTTGCATACTCCTTGTAAGCGGATAAGATTTATGGATAAGTCCAAAGAAATAAAAGCCGCTTTATGCTAATTTTTCTTGGACCTTCATGTTCCATTTAATGCGTAGAAAGTCCTAAAGCACCCCGGCTAGTTTTCCCGAAACTAAAAAGCCTCGATTTGCTAGCGAAAGAAGCGCTCGTTGAGTGGACGATGAAATCGAACGCGGTGGGGCGATGGCAAATCCGGAAATTGGGGCTGGGTGGAGGGTATTTTCAGGGGTGCAGATCATAAAAGACAGGGCAAGCTAGCTGAGGGCATTGGGGAATTTTTAGCGCAATTGTCGAAAGTTCTGAACTTTTAAGTTCCGATACCTAACACCGCCAATCAAACTGGCCAAAAACGGCAATGTGCCGGTAGGGGCAAAAGCGTCCACAGGACCCGAGCATAGCGCGTGCAAAAAAGTTTAAGCTCTTATAACCTTTTAAAACTGAATTAGTGCAGAGTAGAATTTTACGGTTTGAATTATACCAAAGAGAGCAAATTAGCCCTCCTTTTTATACTTTCTGAATTCAGTTTTTGTAGTGCTTGGTATCATTAGAATCTCTGGGTGCTATTCAACACAGTCTCAACAAATTTTTTAAGATTAACTTTAGTTTTAAAGTTATAAGGCGTAGAAGTTTTGGCCCGATACATTTTTGAGTCGATAGGAGTGCCGGGTTGCTTAGGGCCTATTGCCGCTAATTTTGGGCGTGCTAAGCGAAGCCTAAGCCTAAGCCTAAACTGCCGTACTTTCTGAGTTTCGTCCAAGCCAGGCTGATAAGCATCCGTTTCCCTCATACCGGTCCCCCGGCATTGATGTCGACTTTTAATCGGTGTGTCATGCAGGGGCCAATATAAATGTTTGCCATCAGATGGGAAGGGGAGGGGTTGACAGAAAACTTCAGCCGATGTTTGCGCCGCCCTTGAATCTAGCTGCTGCCTTGGGTATATGACTAGGTGGCCGACATCGGGGCAAACGGGTAGATTGGCAGAAAAATTGTACTAAAAACGCTTACAAGGAGACGTTTTTGAGTGTCGTTCGGACTTCGGGATCAGACCAAGCCTAACTTGTGCGGAATTTTGCGCTGATTCCGAATATGGCGGCCGGTTTTGCGGAATCGCCATTTTTCAAAAGTTATGCACGATTTAAACCTGAAACGCCGCAAAATAGCTACTTTCGACGGGGATAAAAGGCTTCCGAATACGTTTTAGAAAAAAAACCGGCCAGTGCATCCTGTTCAAAAAAATTCTCTATCGAGCAAGCTACTTCGCTTAAAAAGTTTGAAACTTTGAAAATTTTGTTGAATGAGGGGCGTCCAAAATGTATAAAAGTTTTAATTTCTCAAAAACTGAAAATGGTGCATTCTGTAAAGAATTTTTTTTAATAAGATGCACTAGCTGGTTTTTTCTAAAACTTTTTCTAAATCTTTTTATGTCCGTCGAAAGTAGCTATTTTATGGCGTTTTTGGGCTTAAATCGTTCGAACGGCCACAATATTCGGCGTCAGCACAAGATAGGCTTGGTCGCATTCCCAATTCGGACGACATCAAAAACGTCTGTTTATTAGCCAAGTTGAAGCAGAGCACCTAAGCCTAAGCTAACCCTAAGCCTAAGCCAACCTATTTCTCCTCCATCGTACTACCCCTTTCGCTAGTGTATCGGCCCAACATCTCGATATATATTCGGGCAATGCAGAAATTCGAGGCGATAGGCGCTGGGCAAACAAGCCGGGGAGGGGGGGAAGGGAGGGGAGGGCAGAAAGGGGGTATGTGTAGAGACCATGTAATTCCCACTACCGCAATTATAACCCGAGCATAGAGTGAGAGAACACAATGCTCTCTCTCTCACTTCTCAATAGCTCATCCCCCAACAATCCGTGCTCACTCCGAGAAAAAAATCGAGAAGAAATGAGGAAAACTTGTCTAGGTTTTACAGTGCGGAGGGAAATGGAGTGTAGCTAAATGCCACTAGATTTTTTACAGTAAATTCAGATGATGTGAAATTATTGTGGTTGTGCGAAGATGTTTCTTTGGATGCCGGGAAATGGAACAACGGAGGGCCCGGGGCTGGATTGGACCCGCGATCGGGTGACCCTTTTGGCAAAAGCCGGCCAGACGGCTCAGCTACGATGGAATAATGGAAATCAATCATACGGTTAGTGGGAAACATTTTAGTGGCAATGTAAGCTTTTTTGAAAAGTGAACGGATTAAATATATTTAATTCAGTTGGAAATTCCCGTCACCGCTGCTCACTACGCATCGATACCTGTGCGAGCTGCTTACTTCGCATCGACTACACCCCTCCCGCCAGCTTTCTCAGCTTTTTGCAAATAGGCCTGGTTGGTTTTTGCATTTTTATTCTTATTACCCTAAAATCCCGAGTCTAGTTCCGTGTGAAATCCCGGAGCGTCCGTAATTCCGTATGACCGTAAATAGGCGTGTTTCGTTTTTTCGGTTTCTTGCAATAACTCCGGTCACTAAAGGTATTGTTGCAATTTAGTGTGAATATTTGCTCCCATTTCGACTATTTCCAACATTTTGAGCGGTTTAATGAAAGAAAATGATTTCCAAAATCCTGAGAAACGCTTCTTTTGTCTTACATTTCATTTGCGGCGATGGTGCGAGGAGCACGTTATTAGAGCGTCATTTGTATTGCTGCGTCGCCAAATTGTACCGGAACTATTCTCGGGATTTTAGGGTGTTCAGAACTTTGAACAATACAACCCCTCTTACAGTACTCGTCGTGCCTATCTTCCGATGATTGCCTGGAAATGCGTTTCATCGAAGACCGCGCCGACTGGATGCTCGACTCACCTTATCGGTAAGCCCGGTGGAAATCTGCCAAGATTCTTTCGGATTTTATTTAAGAACAAAAATCTTAGTTTTTAGACATTTCTATTTAGATTTGTTTAAAATCGATTTAGAAATGTTTATTCTATTTAGGTAGATTTAGCTATATTAACATTTTTAGCGTCCACAACGTGCTGTCAGCCCCGACAAATTCGTATCTCTCGACGGGGCCGTCGGTTCGAGTCACGGCCACCCTGATCATGGGCCCGAATGCAACGAGTCTGGCTGCGTATCTAGAAGTACTGTTTTCAAAAATTTCTAACTATCGCTCTTCTAGGCCCTATTTCCTGTAAACATCACCGTAATCGATTCAACCGAAACAATTTTGGGGTCAGCGCGAGCGCCTGAGACGACGACCGGATATATACAAAGCCCGAGGTAGTTTCAAACCCTTTTAATTTCGTTTTTTTCCTAACAAAACTGTTATAACATTTGTAAAAAATCTAATAAAATAGTGTTAACAACAATAAAGAAATAATTCGCCTGAATTTAGATACCCCTCCGCATACCCGAGCACCTTGGAAAAGACGTGGCTGTTGCAGAACACGAATCCGTCCGGCTACGTTCGCCTGATCTTTGACGATTTTCAGATCCATTTTCACAGCCAGTTAACGGTAATCGAGGTTATACTATTTCGTAACGTAAATTTTTAGATCGAAGAATCGAATGGCGAATTGCTCACCGACACGCGGCAAAATCCCCGTCGACCGGCGGCACTCGTCAGCTCGGGCCCCGCCCTGAAAATCGTCTTCCACGCCAACGACTTCACAAAGCTGGTCGGTGATTATATTAATTTAATCTATCATGTTTTACAAGCGAAAAGTCAATCATTCGGATTCAGGTCGGCTTTCGAGCCCGCTACGAATTTGTGGAGCAGCGCGAGTGGGCCGAGAAGCCATCAGCCATCGGTAGGATGTTTAAGCTTAAAACTATTTGAAATCTTGGACCCTCATGACCACGGCCAACCAGACAAGCCAAAAACGGCAATTTGCCGAGGAAGGGGCAAAAGCGTAGTACATAGGAGCCGGGGCGCCAAAAAGTTTAAGCTCTTATAACTTTTTCAAACCGACTTGATATTGAAAACCCAATCTCAATTATTGCAGAGTAGAATTTTACGGTTCGAATGATACCAAAGACAGCAAGTTAGCCCTACGAAATACAACTTTTAACAAAGTCGCCAACTAAAACCGCGTGGTTTTGATACTTTCTGAATTCAGTTTTCTTAGTGCTTGGTATCATATAGATCGCTGTGTTCTAGTGTACAAAGTTGCAATCAGCTTATTTTAAGATTCGTTTTAGTTTTAGTTATAAGGCTTAAAAGTTTTGGCCCAATACATTTTTGAGTCGACAGGAGTGCCGCGTTGCTTAGGGCCTTATTGCCGTTAATTTTTGGTGGGCAACGTATCTTTGCAGATTGTGACGATACGGTGGAGGGTTACGGCGGCCGGATTGGGCTGGAAAATCGTCTCCCCTCCGGGCGCACGTTTGTCGATTGCGTTTGGGTGGTGACGAGGACGGGCCGAACGTCGTTTGATCGTATTTTTCTGAAGGTACGTTGTTGTTGTTTGCGGGGGTGATTCGGAGGACCACGATTTAGGTGACCGAGTTCTCGGTACCGGGGATCGGGCTACAACTTGAATTGCGTGAGGGTGCGAGCTCGATCGGAGAGCGTCTTCTTTTCTTGAATGGACATCAACCTCGGTAAGTAGAGCCAATTCAAGACGCAAAAAAGCGCCAATGTTGATAACGACGAAAATAATGATGTGCTTTTAAGGGAGTTGCTAGCACAAAGACAGCCCCGTCATGGCTATACAACCTCATTGAGTCAACCGGCCTTCTATCTACGTCTACGTGGTTATTTAGTGGAACCGTGAGTATCGTGTCTATTTCAAATCATCAATATTTGACAGAAGCGGCCTCCAGATCGATTTCTCGCAATTCTATCGCTGGGCCAGCCAGGTGTGCCCGATGACAGCCGAATGGCACTGTGACAACAATCGATGCATTAAGGTAACAATCTAGCAGAGATTATTTGGGAATTTCCTGACTAGAAGCTATATCGAAGATTTGCATTCTTCAGGCTTCCCTACGCTGCGATGGGGTGGACAACTGTGGCGACGCCAGCGATGAGGAATGCGATTTTGAGCTTGGCGGCGCTGGCGGAAGGTAACGAAACGTTCCTGTATTTTAAAGCCGCCTCCATCTACAGAAATGACGATTCGCACAACATGTTCCTCTTTGCCGCGTCGGCTTGCGCATTGCTGATTTTGTTGTTGGTGGGCACCGGATTCGCATCGCGCGTCTTCCGGCAACGTCTCCGGCCACGACAGCAGCAGAGCGTGGCCACCATCGCTTCCGCCGATTCAGGTAAAAAAAAATACTATACCAGCGATATTCTAAAATCAGTAATTTCAGCCGATTCATCGAACAGCTCATCCATGGCCCCTGTGATGGCCGTTGTCGGGCAACGCCGTTTCTACGTTGCTCCACTCGGGGAATTGACCGTTGTAGAAGCTCCACCCACGTATGACGATGCCCTCAAACATCCACAGGTACGTCAATAAGCGCATCGAAATCAAAGCCGCCAAATGGCTCCAAAAACAGTAATTCTAGGTACCTACCGGCAATTACCCGCGACCGCCAAATGCCTATACAAATCAAGCTTTTCTCGAGTCGGAGGTACAAAATTATATTGGCAGCAATAATATAATGTTAGGAGATTCCCGGCACATCCGCCTCTGCTGCCAACGATTCTCAAGATGTGGTAGAAGCAGAAGATCAGGCTGGACCCTCAAAGCCAGAAATTGGGGAAGACGAAAGGTCAGTTAAGGTACCTAATTGACAAAACTAGCAAGCGTTTTAGATCGATAGCCTCGTCGTTGAAGGCGAGTTTAGCGGAAGAGCCACAAAGCAACAGTGCGGCCCCGAGCAAAGAAGCAGAAGATGCTGATGAAGAAGAGGGTTCATGGGTGTAGCTCTCACATTATCTTTCGTCTTCCTTTTTTCCTACTGATCTCAGGTGTGATTCTATGACTCAAAAACGTCTCCTTGCTCTGATTTTGCGGGTCAGTTTCGTGTTTCTAAAAGCCTCTTTGGACTGCCAAAAAACTCTAGAAAAGAATAAATCGACTTCGAAAAAGCCTGAATAAATGTCGTCTAAAACACCTGATCTCCAAAATTTATGCACAAAGTCGAACACAGCAAATCATTATTACCCGTGTCATAATCACAGACCTATCGTTGACTGGAACAATAATATCCATAAATACATAGCTTCATATGAGACTCGCCGTCCTGAATGGCTCGTAGAAATGGGTCTTTTTGAATTCTGACGTCCAGTTCACGTCACTCCAGAAAGGGGGCAACAGCCAATTCAGGTAGAAGCGGTCGCCGAGGACGAATTTGACGCGCGAGTCTGGAAAAAGGATAATTAACCAGGTTTCTAGAAACCTACAAAGGCTAATTCCACGATCACCCTTCAAAGGTTTGTCGCGGGCGACGAAAAACTCCATCATCGCATACCCCTTGTAGAGGAAAAACGTCTAAATTTTCAGGTTTCACAACTTTTTGGGAAAAAACCTCCATTGCCAGAATTGAAGAGCCCGCCATCGCAGCGACAGCACCAAGTATGTAACTCTGAAAGGACGAATCTTGACGGAAATATCTCGGGAACTTACGACCCATGGAAGCGCTGTGCTGAATGTCGGGCGGTAGCCTTCCCACAACCATCGGAACATATTAAAGCCCAACGCATGCACACCGAGAACATCTACCACCACGGGGCACAGCGACGTGAAGTAAGATGCCCTAAAAATCGAATAAAAATAGAATGGGTGAAATTGACCATGTGCCATCATCATCCGCTTTATCGCGCCGCTGCTCGAAGAAACATTGAATCGACCAGACGCCGACGAGGAACAACCAGAAAGCCATTTGGATGAAGAAACGCTGAAGCAAAAGTATTATCCAGCTACTAACAAGGGGTTTTTTTGGTGACAAGAGTTTCCGTACATCGTCAAGCCAATATGGTGCACAATTTTGCGCTGATTTCACATCTGCTTTCAAAAGCTGCGAAATGATCAGATTTTGTTCTTTGTTTGTTCTAAAAAGACCCAATTTTGGCAAATTTTCCCCTTTTCCTCCTGAGAAGCTTCATAAGTTTTTAAATAGAATCGCTTCGCAGATTTTTAAAACAGGTTCGGAACCAGCACAAAATTTTGTACAAGATATGCTTGGTTTCGTACGGAAACTCGACTGTCACTAAAAAAGGCTCCTCAAGGATCGTAAGGCTTACCAAAGTAAAAATACCAATGCAAGCAGTCACAAAGAAGCAGTGGTGATCATTGCGGAAAGAGCACGTCCCGCAAAATGGGCAGTGCACGGTACGGAATGGTTGAAGCCTATAACGTAACGTTTCGCTGCCGAAAATCCTCCAAACGCACCGATCACAAGGAGGACACCACCGATACGCCTTGACCTCTTCGCCCTTGTCGTCGCGATAGGTTTGTGTAGCGTTTCGCTGCAACCTCTCGCTCGTAATGTGCAGGCGCTTCATTTGGTAGCACGGGTTGTCCTTACTAAAATTAGGAATTTGAAAGAAAAAGTGACTAACTGTGCGCCAAGACGTATTGCCAACAAATTCAAGAGGATTTGGAGCACCATGAAGCGGGCGAGGTGGGCGTAACCTCTGAAATAATTCTAAATCCGGAAAATAAGGAAAACGAACTCGCTGTAGACGCTGGGTATATAAATGTTGATCGCGAGCTCGCCGGCAGCAATAACTAAATACTTTTAATATAAATTTTTAATGTATACCAAGAGGCATACCTAGACATCCCACGAAGATATTGAGCAGATTGGCCAACCAGCGGGGAAACCATATTGGCGGGTTAGGGCGGCTCGGCGGAACAGATTGTGGATCTTAAAAGGGTAAAAATTATGTTTTAAAAATTACCTTGGCTACACGAGTCCCCCGGCGGGATAAATATCGACGATCCGGGCTAAAACTTCAAATAATTCAGACAAAACATGCCTCTATACCTCTGATTCATCTTCTGTAATGAGCAGTTGTCTTTCGCTAGAGTTGCGCGACTTCAGTTGGTACTAAAAATAGTTAATAATAAAATAAACATATTTTTGGCCGGAAATCGTAAGATATAGTAGCTATTTTAGTTTTGAAAGGCTAGAATTCATTATAAAACCGATATTTGTTATCATTACAAAGTAAAAATTACCTCAATCATCGTTTCATATACAACGGACGTATTTTTGAGGCCAAGACGGCGAGTGATGCCTGGAAAGGTGAATGATTCATCGGGCTAGCCGCGATGCCGGGCAAAATGTGAGGGAAAGAAGGGAAAGACGGTATACATTGAGGGCGCAGAGAAAAGGGGGGTTTAGCGCCTCGTAAAGATCAAGAAGGGCCGCGCTGTCGACAGATAAAAATAGATAAATAGTTAATAGTTTCTTTACTTTACTTTTTATTTACTAAAAAACTAAGAAAGAGAAGAAAATTGATAAATTTTTTACTATTATTTTTCCTATCCTGCTACAAATTGGTACGTTGTCGCTAAATCTTGAAAATCTTCAAAAGCAGTTTACTAGAATTTATAAAAAATTGTTAAACCGTTGACGTTCTTTTTATCTATCGTTTGTTTTTCCTTTTTGTGTCAGCGTACTCTTTAACTTTTCGAAAATTACGGTACCTTTTCAAGGCCATACTTCGTAGTTTCCAAAATTGCTTTCCGTTCCAATCTTCCAACGATACAACACTTTATTCATTAGCGTTTTTCTATTTATAATTAGCATCTTTCGTTGGTCCTCGCTCATTTTCCCAGCTTCTTCAGCCAGACTCGTCCAAAATCTCGGGTCCGTTCCGGAAGGGCGGCTGACTGAATTTTCAAGGTATTTTTCGAAGCAGAAGCGCCTACCGCTCGTTTCCCAAGTCGTTTTAACCAAATGTTGTAATCACGGCGTCGGGGTCGCTCGACAAAGCCAGACTTGAAAACTTAGGATTAGCCAGGCTTTAGACAACCGCATACCAGTCCCAGGCTCCGTTTCGACATCATTGGGTTCAGGCGGACCCGATAGAGGCTGGGCACCGTTGGGAAAATCACTAGATAAAAACTATATCTAAAAATGGGTATTTTACCGTAATCCGAGTAGGCAGGGCCGGGGCGCTCGATGCCCATCATCCCCGAGTATTTGCCGTCTGAATTCGGTGAATTTTTTCGGGGGCGTTTCAGTTCTTACCGGCAAAACTCGCTTCCCCGATGTCGAACAGGAGAAACTACAAAATTTTAGTCAATTAAGTCAAGTTTTGTGCACTTACCGTCACCATAGTTGAGAAGCCGACTGTCCAAAGCACATTTGGCTGCATTTGTGGCTCTAAACACATTAATAATTAACAAAATACAACCTAGATAAGCCAGAAAATGTGGAATAAACGATTAAGAAACGTAAAAACCGGTTAGATGTATATCATAAATTAGAATAAACGACGTTCTCGATATACGACACCCCCGAAAACAGCAATTTCATCGGTTGTTTCCCATTTTTGAGGGGGGATTACAAAGGATTGAGATGTCAGAATGGAATTTCATTTTCCTCCCCGAAAAAGGAGGTTTTATTTCCCGGCCCGGAAAAAGAGCCATAATGGAGACCGGGCTTGGCGTAATTTTGAGGTCCCATAAAAGTTTGAGTAAAAGCTCAAACGGCTGCCGGAGAAGATGCTAGCGCGTAAATGGGAGTGAGTGACCCGGAAGGGCGCTCAATTAACTAGATAGACCATCTAACGGGTGGGGGAAATTGGAGTCGAGCTCAGTTTGTGCGGATGTTTTGGAGTAGCGAGGTGGAGTGGAGTCTAACGTACTTTTGAGACGTTGAACGTAGAAATAGGCAGGAGCATTACGTGGTCTGCGCTGTTAGCGGGGGGGGGGGATTCTTAGCGCCGGAGGAAACCACTTTTTGTCTTCGACGGTTATGTATTTTTATAATATTTTTAAAAGTTTTTGATTGCTACAAAGTTATAAAAAAAATTTCAATTTTGAAAATTCGAAATTTTTTACCCTTTTTGGCCATTTTTTGATACATTTTTGAGCAAAAACACAAAAAAAATTGATTTTTATTATCTTTTGTATTGTTTTTAGAAGTAAAAACTATGTAAAATGCTATAAAAATGTTTTATATTTTGTTGTAGGGCCGTAAAGAATCACAGAGAAAAATTTGGTTCCCCCGCCGTGCTCAGTTCACAAAAGGTTTTGAAAACCTAAAAATTGCCTTCGATGGCCCTTTTCTCAAACGTCATAAATTTCGGGCGAGCTGCCAGACGCCAAATTTGATTTTGGCCCGGATTTTTGAGGTCCAACGGGTCGCGCGGGTCCAGAAAAAAAAGGGAATGATTTGGAAGAGTTTCTCGATCGTCAGTTGCTTCTTAAAAGTTGAGTCTCATTCAATAGATAACAAACAACAAAAATCAGCGATTAGTCCGGATTTTTGCGTGAAAATAAAGATTTGTCAGCCAAATTTTGACGTTTTCGCGCGCGGGGCCCATCCCTGTCTGACACCCCTCAAATCCAGCAAAAGGTTCGGGATTCCGGGGATGAGACATGGGTCCGGCTCAAAACACCTTCAATTCCACGGGCTTTTTGTTGTTTTGCTGGCTAGGGTGTGTAATTTGCATAAATTGATTTGGTGGCTGGCTAAAAAATAAAACGAGCGAGTACAAGCGGGGGCGTGAATGGAATGAGAATGAGCTCATTCGCAAGATTAGGAAATGGCGATATGAGTTTAAAGAAACCGCCAACTCTCAGCTTTTTATGAAAAAGCAAAAAGCCAGGTCAGGGCCGGGGGTCGAACCCGGGGCCTGTGCGCGTCAAGCGCACATAAAACCAATGAGCCAACCGGCCCGGGGGCTTGGGACAGGGCAGGCCCTCTTCCCGCCAGGGGGGCTTATCCACGCTTTAGGAAACAGGCCTGCTATAGCCCGAACCGATTTCCTAAAATTGGGAGGTGTAGATTTCTAATTCTTTAAGAATTATCATGGTAAGCTGAAGATAAAGGCGTGAAGGGCAGGCTAGCAGGGGTCCTTTAGGAATTCAGCAAGTGGCGTAGGAAAAAGAAAATGAACAGGAGTCGAAGCCTCAGCCTAAGCCCTAAGAAACGTCGAGTCACTCTCTACCCACTAAAGTACGCTAAGTGGGTGTCCCGCGGAGAAGAGGCCCCCTAGTACTTGTCGTGTGATTGAAAGATTTATAGGATAGGGCCCCGAATAGGGGAATTTAGCCCTGAAACGTGCGTTTTTTGGCGTATTCTGGGTGCTGAAAAACAAGCAGGGGCAAGCGAGCAGAGAAATTTGGGGATCCTGAAGCTGGCCCCTTTGAATGACCCAAGAACATGGAGATTCGGGCCATTAAGTGGTCTCTCACACGGCGTGCGGCTCGAATTTCCGCCCCCATCCGCAATCCCATTCCGCATAATTTGTGAGGAATGGCCATTTTTTCAAGATTTCTATATTGCGCCCTCCATTTCGGGTAATGAGAAAATTGGAAAAAGCTTGATTTCTAGCTACCAGCAGTTTGGAATCGCGCTAAAAGTTTTTTACGCTTTTTAATGCACGTTTTTAGCAGCTTTATACTTTAATTTATTCACATTCAAATGTCGATTCCTATTTGCATATTGGCCCGGCGCGTCCATCGATTTTCGGCCCTTCGCACACCCAGAAATTGGCATCCGGGTGGAATTGCTCGCCAACGGAGGGGGTTGCGCCGATCGAAACGAACTAGAAATCGTTTTTAATGCTTTCTGCAGATATTTTATTCTGGACTGCCTATGCCTAAGCTTGAGCTAAGCCTAAGCCTAAGCCTGAGCCCAGCCTAAGCCAGGCCTAAGCCAGGCCCAGGCCAAGCCTAAGCCAAGCCTAATAAGCCTCTGACTAAACCTAATCCTAAGCCTACGCGAAGCCAAGCCTAAGCCAAGCCCAAGCCTAATCCTAAGCCTAAGCCTCAGCTGAAGCCTAAGTCAAGTCTAAGCCTAAGCCTAAGTCTAAGCCTAGGCAAGCCTAAACCTACGCCGAAGCCAAGTCTATGCATAAGCCAAGTCTGAGCCTAAGCCTAAGCCAAACCTAAGCTTAACAAACCCCAAGCCTATTCCTAAGCCTAACTAACAAAAGCCTGAAAAAAGCCAAGCCTAAGCCAAGCTTCTGACTTAACCCGAAGCCCCCTCACCTCGCTAACATTTCCGACCTGCAGCTTTGGCCAGACAAACGGGGTCGGCAACCCAATCGATGCCGTTGGGTCTCTAAAATCCACCAATTCGCCCCAAAAACTCCACCCCATACCCATAAACCACAAAGTTGCTCCACAAATTGCCCATCAACTCGGTGAGCTTGATGTCCACAGGATCGTCGTGGAATTCCGGGTACCCGAAGACGAACTGTAGCTCGTAGCCGTGCGGAACTCCGCGGAGTTTTGTGTTGTTTTGGGTGGGTTGGGCTGAAATAACGGTAGGGTAATCTTTATATGATCAATTTAGTTTTAATAATTTTTATGATTTAATTTAATAATTTTAATAATTTAAAAATGATCGATTAAACCGGCTTTTCTTACCTTTCGGATTCAAATAATCGAACGAGTACAAGTAGACCGGGCTACTCGTGTATGCAAAATATTTCGCGTCTCGCAAAGCCGGCCCGATGAACACCATCTCGCTGAAGAGCTGGAAAAGAGACAGGCTGAGGAAAGAGGAAAATTTGGTTCTGGGCTGTTAGCGGGGGGACCAAATTTTTCCCTGCAATTCTCTCCGACCCTATAACAAAATCTAGACCATTTTTATAGCATTTTACATAGTTTTTCGACGCAAAAACAACACAAAAATAAAATTCGCGAAAATTTTTGAATTTTTGGTCAAAAATGTTTGAAAAATGACCAAAAACGTGAAAATTTTCGAAGTTCCCAAAATGTTCAAAATTGTTTTTAACTTTATAGCAATAAAAACTAATGAAAACACTATAAATATACACCGTATTATCACAGATAGGTATAGGTGGAAAAAGAAAGCGGCTCCGACCCACGCTAAGATTCCTCCCCGCCCCGTTAACAGTCCAGTCCGGAAATTTTAACGTAATAGTTGAAGGCGGTACCTGAATATGGCGAGCAGCCCAATTAACGTTATCATTTTCATCAAAATTCACGTTATTTACGTAGTGATCAATGGCAGCTTTGACGACGGCATCTAAAAGGAGTCTCTGCTAGCCCGCGCCTCCAAGGCGTCGAATTCCCCAAAGAATCTCTGCTAGCATGTCCCCGATCCCTGAAATTCCTCAAAAATCGCTGCTAGCCTCCCCCAATCCCTCCAATTCCTCAAAAAATCTCTGCCAGCCTGCCTACCCTTATTATCCCAATACGACATCTCGTAGCAATCCTTGATCGATGTGGCGACATTTGTCTTGGTGAACCACTTGAGGTTGTGTTGTACTTGGTAGTCGTCTACAGGATCGTAGCGTAATGTAGCGCTAGTAGACTACCGTACCCCATCCAACCCATTCGTCGTGAACGTCACCGACAAGTACAGGGACCGGCGGGCGGAGGAGGGCCAATTCTTCCAAGCGGCGGGGGAGGTAGGCTTGATCCTGAAGTGTTAAAAAGTATGTTTAAAGATAAAAAACTTGTAAAAAAAAGTTTACCTGTACGGGTGCCCATTTCATACGGTGGTTTGGAAGCTGTCCGTCAGCTGTTTGGATCGATTTTGGTTGTTTCGACTGGAGACAAGCGATGATGTCCTGAAGAGGTAAAAATATTAAAAGAGAAAGAGAGCGAGAGAGGGACAGAGAGAGAGAGAGAGAGAGAGAGAGAGAGAGAGAGAGAGAGAGTGAGTGAGTGAGTGAGCGAGTGAGAGAGTGAAAGTGAGACAGCGAGAGAGTGAAAGAAAGTCAGAGACAAAATGAGTGAGAGTGAGAGAGCGAGAGAGATAGAGATAGTAATAGAGTGAGACAAAGTGAGCGAGAGAGTGAGAGAGAGCGAGTGAGTGAGAGAGAGAAAAAGTGAGAGACAGAGCGAGAGATAGAGAAAACTTACATAGAAGCTGTGCCCTTGGTTCCACTCGTCGGCTGTAGCGCACCTAAATAATGCCTTCGCTACTTCCAATTCCTCAGTGCTCTTTCCTAGCTCGTCAGCAGGCCAAGGGCAGGCTACCAGACTTCCTTAGAAAAGCGCCCAAAAACCTACCCAAGTTTAATCGCTAGTTGCTTGCTGGTGTCTCTGGTTTGGTCAGAATACGACATTACAGCAGCCCCGAAAGCGCTTCCGGATTCTTGAATCAATTGACTGTAGAGACCTGTGGGTTACGGTAGCTCGGACAGGTTATAGAAAACTACCGCTAGCCTTCGGGGAGAGGGAGACGAACGAGGTGGCCTCGGAGCCGGCACTGTGGCCACCTACTGTTACCTGGAAAGTTTATAAGGGTAATTCCAGGCCTTCAGAAGCCTAAACCTGAGCCTAAGCCTATTCATAAGCCTAAGCCTAAGCTAAGCCTAAGCTAAGCCTAAGCTAAGCCTAAGCTAAGCCTAAGCTAAGCCTAAGCTAAGCCTAAGCTAAGCCTAAGCTAAGCCTAAGCTAAGCCGAAGCTAAGCCTAAGCCTAAACCAGAAGTAAGCCATTGAATAGCTCAAAAACCCTACCCGTCTCGGATCTCCACCAAAGAACCCTATATACCGCTGGACCCAGTTCAGCGCCTCGACCGCGTCCGAAATTCCCCCATTTCCGGGGGCATCTTTTGTACGCGTTGTTAGGAATCCTGAAAATCCAAATTACAACATTCTTCATACGTACCCAATGGTCCAACCCGATAATTGAATGAGACGATGATCAGTTGGCCTTTGTTGATCAGGTTACGGTACATCGACTCTCCGGGGAGGCCACCGCTGCCCTCTGAAACACATCAGCTTTGGGGCCATAAACTGCAAAAACTATGACCGACAGATAGCAAAGCGTACGTAGTTTACGTGACGATCAAATGAACGTTCTTTGAAATGGTGATAGGATTGGAATTTGCTGATAGATGCGGAAAACCAGGCTTTCAGTGAGTAAGCACCCGCGTATAAAAGGCTGACTACAAACGCTCCTTTTTATAAGGCTTACCGACGAATCCGCCTCCAAAAATCCACACCCAGACCGGCAGCTTCGAATCAGATGTTGCGTTCTGGAAAGCTATGTTGCTTTATTTCACTTGAACGCCAAGCCTAAGTCTAAGCCTAAGCTTAAGCCCAATCCTAAATCCAAGCCTGGGCCTAAACATATGCCTAAGCCGAAGCCTAAGCTTAAGCCTAAACCCAAGTCTAAGCCTCAGTCTAAGCCTAAACCTAAGCCTAATCCTTAGCCTAAGCCTAAATCGAAGCCTGAGCCTAAAGCCAAGCCGAATGCTCAGCCTCAGCCTAAACCCAAGCCGAAGCCTCAGCCTAAGCTTATGCCCAAGCCTAACAAGGAGATGGTCTCAGCTCGGAATCGAATTTGGATTTGAAAATTTGCACACTTATAGAGCTCGACGAGACAAATCGATTGGTGTAACTTTCAGCTGCTGATACAATAACCGCACCGAGTTATAAGCATTTTAAGTTTTTGCATACATTTTGCAAAATTTTCGCCGTAGCTTCATAGGCCTTCCCCGCCTCCCCCATCACCGTGGGCTGGTGGCCTAGTGGTGTAGTAGGCGGGCTCCGGGGAATCTAACGAGGGTTCGAACCCGCTCACGATTTTTATTTTTTGCTTTTTCGTCCGAAGGTTCCTTTTTGCTTTCTGAAGGCCTTGAATAGTTTTTTACACATGATTTTAACGCATCTGATGCGCAGACAACATAACTTCACCGTCAAAAATTTTCCTTACTGGGCATGGAGCCCTTGTCCAACAACCTATGACTATCATTTCCAAAAAATTTTTCGCTTATGAAAGTTTTTGATCGGATAACACACCATTTACAATAAATTACGTTTACTCCTCGATTCTTCATCTCTATTTTGGTACCTGCATAGTCCTTTCGGGTAAAAAATCTAATTTTTTTCAAAGAGATGTTTTTAGCCATTTCTCACCAGAGGATTTAAAATAATGTGTAAAAAACTATTCAAGGCCTTCAGAAAGCAAAAAAGGAACCTTCGGACGAAAAAGCAAAAAATAAAAATCGTGAGCGGGTTCGAACCCTCGTTAGATTCCCCGGAGCCCGCCTACTACACCACTAGGCCACCAGACCACGGTGATGGGGGAGGCGGGGAAGGTCTATGAAGCTACGGTGAAAATATTGCAAAATATATGCAAAAACTTAAAATGCTTATAACTCGGCGTGGTTATTGTATCAGCAGCTGAAAGTTACACCAATCGATTTGTCTCGTCGAGCTCTATAAGTGTGCAAATTTTCAAATCCGAATTCGATTCCGAGCTGAGACCATCTCCTTGTAAGCCTAAGTCTAATCTAAGCCTTACACAAGCCTAAATCTAAGCCTAATCCTCGACTTGAGCCTGAACCTAAGCCTAAGCCTAAGCAAAACTTCGCATATTCTGCAACCTACCGTTCATCAGTGTGTTTTTAAAGATCACGCGCCCAGCTGCAAGGCCCTGTTATCGCCGACAGAAATTTTGATAGGGTTTGCTCCGTCGCTGACCTCATCTCTATCGACCGGAATTTTGTGTTTTCGTCACTTCAGCCCCTTTTGTAAATCAAAGCTGGTTAACCCGTATTATGGGAAATGTCCTAATTTTTTCCATGTCCATACCCTCGGGGTGAAAACGTTGAGGTAGAGACAGTCTTCATCACCCTCTGTATTGCCCTGTATACATTTTTGGCCGTAGGCTGTTGCATTGATGAGTCCCGAAGGGTCCTGGCGAGCCGCCGGCTGGAATTTGGTTTGAAGAGAACCTTGGTAGAGAAAAAAAAATCGTATTTTACCCACCATAAATCGCAACTTTCCAATCGGTGGTAATGCGAAGGGAATGCCGCGGAACATGTAGCCATAGCTCAGATCTTGTCCTGAAAAACGTACTCTCGAAAGACTGGATCCTACCGTAATGTGTTCTATAAGCTGCCCGGGCTGAGTAAGTTGCCTCCCTCGGCCTGACCGGCTCTCCTACCCCAAGAGACCCCCAGTCCCCGGCACCACCGACCGCTTCTGTGGCGCAATCGGCAGCGCGTTCGGCTGTTAACCGAAAGGTCGGTGGTTCGAACCCACCCAGGAGCGAAGCTTTTTGCTTTTTGGCCCAGAGAGAGGAAGTGGGTGATGAAGTGGGTTTTGAGAGGCAACGTGAAGTTTTAAAAGCAAAATAAAAAGTGCGGCTTCGTTGTTTTGTAATTTTTGTTTTTGGCCCCAGTCATGAAACGTCACATCAACTAGGTTTTTCAAGCTTCTGCCGAACTTTTAAATCTTAACCTCGAATAGTAGCATCGACGTTGGATGTTTTGATTTGGACATCAACGGTAGCGGCTAGGGCCAGGGGAATTAACGAGATGAATATTAGAAGAATTCGCCGCATCGATAGAAAGCCGAAATGACAGTTCAGAATTCTGGATGGGCGTTATCGCTTTCCCCAAAAAAATCGAAAGATTAGAGCTCGATTCTTTGCAGAAAAATGTGCTCTTTGATGACTGATTGCGAGTGTGGTACCAAAATGTTCCCAGTTTTTAAAGGGGCGGTGAGGTCAGTTTTGAGAGGGCAACTGGCTGGAGATTAGAGATTCGGAGAGCTGCCAAGCACCTAGATTCTAGGGATCCGTCTGATCGTAAAGAATTTGTCTTCCAAACCTTTTTGGCGTGATTTCATTGCATCAGTTTTTAGTGACGAAACCGAACGAAGATTTGCGCCGAAATGGCAAGAAAATTGGTCAAAATTATGCTAAAAAGTGATAGGGTTAGGGGTTAAAAGGAAAACGAAAATCTTCATTCACTTCACTTCTACCATGAAAAATCTTGACCTTTTCTAAGAAAACCGCGTTAAAGGGGCTCCGAAATCTGCTCCACGTCCCCCAGCGTTGATTCCTGGCAAACAGCCAGATGCGACCGCAACGCGACCGCGCCGCATGATCTTTTGCCCCTGTTTGGACGTGAAAACGCTTGAATTCAAGAAATTCTAAAGCTATTTCTGTAATCCTCATAGAATTTTGATTATTCGAGACTTTTTAATTATAAAAATTGATCAGAGAATGACCGAGATCAAGAGATTGGGTGCATTACAAGGCATTACGACATGTAATCCCCGCCCATTCAAAAACTCCTTTTCCACCCGAAAAATTTTTGGTGTTACTCAAATATTTTACGTTTGTTCGCAACGAAATCGCTTTTCTGGTACTTCTCGGCAGGAACACTTTCTTTTTTGACCAGTAGGTTCAACCCCCGCGCACACGAATTTTGACTTCCGACCCCTTTAAAAATGTAGTAGGTTGTTTGTTCTAGGCAAGTTCAATTCCTTGAGCTGTCTCGCCGATTTGGAGCGACCCATTCCTTTTCGCTTTCCTAGGGTTTTATCAGCGAATGGACACAGCACTGTCCCCGGATGACCCGCGTCTGCCACGCAATTTTCCGAAAAACAAAACTAGCTGATTAATCATAGCCAAACAACGAGTTGAAGAAAAAACCAAGTTGAAAACCGGACCTGTTCGTACTGCAGCTTTCCGGTTATTTTTAACAGACAACAGAGCGTTAGATCCTATTCTGGGCTCCGATTGACGTCAATGCCCCGGGGGCTTCTTTGTCTTCCCTTATCATTTTGGGAACACTATACGCGTCGAGCCTATCCTCATTCAAAATCACCCAATTTTGCTTTGAGCGCTTATCTAGCACTAATGAAATAGATAAAGCAGGGTGATATATAAGCCTTCTTAACCCAACCTAAGAAAGGAGGTGCATTTCAAGAAACACCTTTGCCGCTATCCATTTCGTCCAATTTTACAGTATGGCGGCTTCTTTATTCTCTGGGCTATACTAAAAAGTTTATATAACATCATTAGGTCTTTACACAGCTGTAATTGCGATATTTAAATAGTTTTTTTAAGATTCATTGCGCGCAAAATTTAAATTTGGCTTTTTGCGTTGATTTCAGCTTCATCAATTTCGTCGATACCAAATGCTTCTCATTTATGGAAAAGCCTCGTTTTTTTTGCGTTTTTCAAAGAATTTTCGATTTATTTTGAATGGCTTGCGCCAGCAATTTTAAGGATACAACCCGACACACCGTCCTGACTGGAAAATACTGTATGCAACACGGCTGAGCTAATACCCTTATCAATTGTCTACCCGGGTCTTACTGTAGTCTTGCGCCCCGCCCCCAATTTGCTCCTTTTAAGTCGGCTACAATTCCGCAGTCCTTTATTCGTCCAGCTCTCTTGTCTTGCAAAAATGGAACGTTTCTCTACGTTTTTCCTTCTTCTAAAGTCCTCTAAAAAACTTCTAAAGCCCACGTTTTTCCAGAATCGCTCCGATCACGGAACCGAAACTGCCGCGCCCCGATGCATCCGACTTTCAGGCCGACGAGCACAGGTGTGTCGGTTTTTTAGGGCTACCGAATCACGTTAACATAATTTTTCGATTAGCGTTTCTTTTGATGCTCTAAACTATTGTTTTTGCAGATCCCAATTACCCATACCGCGCTGCTACGGATGGAGCATCGAATGAGGTATCGAAAAAGACCTTCGGACCTTATGAACGTATTTTAGGAACCGGACAAGATCCTTCGTTTGGCCAACAATGCTGTTCCACCTACAGCGACTGAAAACAACAAGCTGGAGGTAGAGTTTATCTTAATTTTAGCTGGAAACAGAGCGAGAGAATTAATAATTAATTACTAATTACTAATTTTAGAACCCGCCGGCCCGCTCGCTGCCTGGAGCACCGCAAAGGCAGGCACAAAAGCGTCCTAGTGAGCCGAATTGGACGGAGGAAGAGCGTAGCACGCTCAAGGTACGGTACTTTCCACGCAACTCTCTAAAAACCAAAACATCACCTTTGTTGAAATATTTTCAGGGTGACCCTCAACTCATGATGCTCTGGCTGAAGCGTGATGGGTTCGAGCAGGAGATTAAGGATGAGAAGAAGCGCACGAGCGAGTTGACGAAAAAGTTACGCATTGCGCACGAACAGATGCGCCAGATCGGCCTGGTAAGGGCCTCAATTTTAAAGCCGCAGAGAATCTCTGGAATTGAATCCTTTTCCGGATCAATTTCCTAACCCCATACGTAACGGATTTTAGGGACATCATCCCGTGATCGCTGAGCTAACTCAACCCCTGCAGGCCCCACCACCGAAAACCGGAAATTGAATTTTCTGATGGCATAAAATGCATTGTTATGTTAGTCCCAACGTTGCATCATAGATCTGGATACACACTTGGGGAAAAATTAGGCGAATCCGGGTGACGAATCACGAATCGGAGGATTCACACTGATACGGACATTTTATGAATTCTTAGAATTTCCGAACGAGGGGGTGAGAGGAGAAAGAGAGAGAGAGAGGGAGAGAGAGATGAGAGAGTGAGAGTGAAAGTGAGAGAGATAGTGAGAGTGAGAGCTAGAGAGAAAGAGAGAGCGATCGAGCTAGAGAGTGAGTGAGAGAGCTATAGCGAGAAACATAGAATGGTCCCGTGACAGATGACGTCGCGAACTCACCAAGACCAAAGTAAAAATGGGCCGAATTCCGTAGATTCTTTCCTCCCTCGTAGCTACGGCTTTCAGAAAAAAAGAGATAACCGGCCCCACGCAGGACAAAGTGCTTGAGCGCCGTAAGGTGATGTCAGGGTATCTAAGGCCAGGCGCAATTTCTAGCAGCATGACAATTTGGAGGGTCCCCAAAATAGCACAGGATTTAGAATGTACGTCGATTAGCTGAAGCCTAAGTCTATCCATAGGACTATGACTCAGCATATGCCTAGGCAGGGGCGTAGCCAGAAAAAAATTTCGGGGGGCCCCCAAAAAATTTTACCAAAAACCTCAAAACATTAACGAGAAAACAGCGCCGCAGGCAAAAATTTTTGAAAAAAAGGTTACATAGCTCTACAAATAGCAGTAAAAACGTGAAAAAATAGCGCCGCAGGCAGCAAAATTTTTGAGAAAATGAAAATCATAAGGGTCCCCCCTTATGAAATTTTCGGGCCCCGGCCGATTTCGGGGGCCGGGCCCCCGGGACCTGTATTACGCTACGTCCCTGCGCCTAGGCCTAGCCTCGTCCGAACCTAATGTTGAGCCTTGGGGCAAGCGGAGGTACGAGAATAAGCCTAAAATCGTGCCGGAGACAAACGGCAATCTAATTAAGCCAACAAGCGGTGTTCAGGCCCAAGCCGGACCATTTGCTTCAAAGGCACGCCCAAAATTAGCGGCAATAAGGCCCTAAGCAACGTGGCACTCCTATCGACGCAAAAATGTATGGGGCCAAAACTTGTAAGCATAACTTTAAAACTAAAACGAATCTTTTCGAATTGCCCACTTGGTAGAATGGAACATGGCGATGCTATTGATACCAAACATTAAGGAAACTCGGTTCAGAAAGTACCAAAATGAAAGCGGTTTTTGTTGGCGACATTGTAGAAAGTGGTATTTCGGAGGGCTAACTTGATGTCTTTGCTATCATTCGAACCGTAAAATTCTACTCTGCAATAACTGATACTATGTTTTCAATATTTAGTCGGTTATAAAGGTCATAAGAGCCTCAATTTTTCGACGCGCGCTACGCCCGGCTCATATCGATGGACCATCTCCCAGTCCCAACGAGACTCCCACGCCTTTTTTATGAATGTTTACTATGCCTTCCGTGGTGCATCATCAAATACCGAATGCCTACCCAAAACCGATAACCAACCCTCTGAACCCTTGGGACAAATAACATTTCCTGCACTTCTGTTTGTTCGCGTGTTCCAGCCAGACGGGAGGACCCAAAAAAGGGCTTGTTTATTTCAGGCCCTCTCAGAGGGGAAAACAGGCGAGGGGAACACCTCTTTCATCAGCTTCTGCTTGGCTCTCTCTCTCTCTCTCTCTCTCTCTCTCTCTTTCTCTCTTTCTCTCTCTCTCTCGTTTGGTCAACATTGCCAAGCTTTCTTATCTTTTCTCACGACGTGGCCCGCGGTTTCTCTATACTGTTACTTTAACAGATGTGCTTTCGGCTCCTGGCCCTTGTAAAGGCACCTGGACGGCTCAGGGTTATCTAGATTCTCTAGGATGTGCCCTTCACATACGTAATTGGCTGACCAATACCACAGTCACGTGTTTCAGCCGCGATTATTTTGTCTGAGTCATGCTACCTCCAAAACACGTTATTTGAACTGGTTCTGGTTATCAGTCGTCTTCTGACCCGCTAGGAAGATGAAAAACCACGATTTGATCAGAGAATAAAGCTAAAAAGTTGGGGACTGAGAAAAAAAGCGGAAACCATGGTCATTTTTTTATTTTTTTTTGTCTGACTCATTCCGTTGCACACCATTGCGCAATGTAGATATGTTCGTAATGCTAATACATAGTATCACTAGGGAACGGTCTCCCTTGGAAATGCATGCCGGAAAACCCCCCGGGTGGCTTCCGGGGAGTGCAATTTAGACCCGGGGCACTTGTGGCCGTCTCGGATTACACCCACCCCCACACCACTATTGCCCGGGGCTCAAGTGATGGTTTTTGGCCTGAAAATCCAATTTTCGATGTGATCTGAAAGCTATTTTTCGTTCTAGGCTTTAGTTTAAGCCTGCGATAGTAAAGGGTTCTGTTCTATTTCCCGTGGGGGAAAAAACTGTGAGGGGGGGGAATATGCTTCGCGGAATCTTCCATCTTTTCGCTATTTTCTCGGGATTTTTGCAACGCCATTCGATAGAGTATCAAAAAATATACTAAGAGTTTTTGTTTTAGCCAAAAATATTGTAATATAAAAAAGTTATAGCAAAAACAAGGTTTATTCGGTGTTTCCACATGGGATCGTGGAGTCGAAAGCTAGTTTTCGACATTTTCGATAACTTTCAAAAATTTACAACTCAAAATAGCATCATGTAAAAGAGTTATAACAAAACGAAGAAAATCCCCCCTCCCGCACAGTTTTCCCCCCTGCGAAATAGAACAGCACCATTAATATATAGCTATATCTAAGCGAGAAAAACTATCTAAAAACTTCAAAGAATGTTGAAAAAGTCGAAATTTCTGAGTTTTGAAAGCTCTGCCGCTCCGAAATTTCATGTCGCTAAAATGTTCTCAAATTAAGATTTTGGTCTACAATTGACCTACAAAAATCGGTGAATTTTTCAGTTCAAAGTGCACCACCCGGGGTTACTCAATATTCTTGGGAACCCATCCAATTTCTTTCCTCTCTATTTTCCCGCTTTTTCACTCACTTTTTCTTTGGGTTTCGGAATTAGGGAGTCATAGAGAAAAAATTCGAGCAACACCCTTTTCAAAAAGTGCTGATCAATAAAGCTGTTTTAAAAATTTAATTTTAATTTCTCTATTTCTCTTCGTTCAGTCGTTTTCGGGGGGGGGAAGGGGCGCATTAACCCTCCTGCCTTGTAAGGTTGATTGGTTTCTACATACACTTTTTCCTCTGTTCAAATCTTCCGCTTGCCCCTTTTACTTTTTGGTTTGGGTCGGTATAAAATTTTAATAAAAAAAAAAAAAAAATAAGAATAAAAAAAAAAAAAAATTCGTAGGCCCCTCCGGGCGCGGGGGCCGTGGGGGGGCGGCCACCCAAATAACCTCAAATACCGCGATCCCGAGTTTTAATTAAATTAAATTTTCTAAAAAGCTTTTCGATCAGCACTTTTGAAAAAATTTTTTCTCTCTTGAACAAAAACAAAGCTAGCAATCAAGCCGGCGATCCGGAACGTTGACCGGTCGATTTCTCCCCCCCTGATGATGTGGGTTTTCTCGGCTCTCTATTTCTCGCCACCTACCTCTCCACACATTTTTTCAGACGATTCGAATTCATCGGCCGGGGCTGCCGAGCCATTTCCCAGAAAATCGATCCCTTATCGCTGGTTTGAATCTGGCCCCGTTTTGTCTGTCTGTCTACCTGTCTATTTCTTTGATCTGTTTCTCTCTGCTTCTTCTTTGAAATTCCGGACGCAGACGGTCCCGCCCTCATCACTATTCCAAAACATCGCCGCTTGTGAAATGCCACTCTTCTGGGGCATTCCAGTTTCATTCCTCCTTTTCCATTCCTTCACAGCGTAAAATTGGCATAGCAGATCCCTAGCTTTTACGCTTCTGAATCCGCCACTGATTGCAATACGAATAATTTTAATTTTTAAAGTTGTCCTCCGATCTTGGTCACGACATTTCAAAACTTAATCATTAAGTTTTATCGACCCGGTTTTTCCATTTCAAAAAATCCACTTTCCTTTCCCTGACCAATCTTCCAAATCCAATTTTCACGCTTCTGAATCCCACACTGACGTCAGCCGGGCAGCCTTTCAACTTGATTATGTGTGCCCCTCGCCCTCGGTTGTTGCCTATTCGATGCCCCATCCACCGTACCCCTCAGTGGATCCATGCTAGCACTGAGTGCTCACAAGGGCCCTCTCTTTCACAACCCCCACCACCACCACAATCGCCCACGCTTTTTTTGGGGGCTATAAACGGCATCGAACCCATGTCTCGTGCGTTTCCATAGTGACTTTTGTCCTCGAAATCTCTATTCAGCATGGAATCCCCGGTCTATTCACTTTATTTTTGAAAATCCTAAGTCCCCCTCCTCCCTGGATTATCCGGCGCCCAGGGGGCACTTTTCTACCAGATGTCATTATTTTTACGTGTTATTCCTTTTATTTTTACAAGCTCAGCGGTGCTCATTGATGTCTTCAACCCCATGAGGTCTTTATATAGAGCGTTTTATTTTGTGTTGGCGGAATACAGGATCCTTAGATACCTTTTCCTACCTAGCCTAATCTCGCATGGGAGCTATTGTATTCTTATCTTTTTTTGCTTCATTTACTTAGCTCTTACGTATGTATCAACTTTCCAGGTAATCCGTGCTTTCCCGAGCGCAACAACTTCATACTCCACATCCCAACAACCACAACGCTCGTCGATAGTTATTCACTGTAGCCCCGCTGGCAACACGGATCCAATTGGTCCCGTGTCCGACTTTTCACCGTCTTACACGCTCCGGGGAGAGGTGAGTCATAAATTACCGAGATTGCCAAAGCATTGAAACCGTAACAATCCTATTACAACATTTTTTTTAGGGCGTGAAAGACCGCACTGGACTGCCCCACGCCAACCAAAGATTCCGTCCGAGGACTCGGCAGAACCTTCTTTAGAACCCTCACGGGGACTTACTGTAAGTCTTCCGGGCAATTCACATTATGCAGAAATTTCGGTACGCAGAAATCCATTAGACAGAAAACCGTTATACCGAAAACCCATTACGCAGAAAACCATTACACAGAAAATTCATTACGCAGAAATCCATTAAGCCGAAATCCATTAGACCGAAATTTCATTATACAGAAATCCCATTACACAGAAAATCACTACGCAGAAAAACTATTACGCAGAAATTCATTATATAGAAAAAATCTTTTGCAGAAATTTGTTACCCCAACCGTTCCACTCCCATAAGATTCTATATACAAAAAAAGTTGTATCCGCGGTCGTTGAGGTTGTTTCCATCATTGACTCGCGGACTTTGCCCAGCCAGATAGTTTTATCGGTTCGAAAATTGTGCAAGATTCCCGATGCTCACCCTCCTCTCTAGACTTCTTGAAACAAATTTTGAAGACTTTCTCCGAACCCTGTTTGCTAACTTTCTTGGATTTTATCCACCAAATTTTTTTGCCTTATGATGCGTTGTCATCAACTCGGAAATTTCCAGCAAAGAGGGTTTTTCCTTGTACGGAAATTTAGGTATAATGGTCTTCTGCGTAATGAATTTTCTAGGTAATGTATTTCTGCGTACTGGTTTTTCTGTATAATGGTTTTCTGCCTAATTGCCTTGTTGAATTGAAAGTTGAATTCTGCCTTCTTTTCTGGTAATGGCTTGAAATTTCTGTGTATTGAAATTTCGATATAATGGGTTTCTACGTAATAGTTTTCTGCATAATGTATTTTCGGCATAATGGATTTCTGCGTAATGGTTTTCTGCATAATCATTTTTCGGTATAATGTTAGTAAATCTAAGTCTACCCACCATGGAGGGCCATTCAAGATGCTTTTTTCAGGTTGAAGAGGTCCACGGCCTTTTGCTCGTGGTCTCAGCCCGAAAGCAGCCGCGCAGCACCGGCCAAGTAAACCTCGACAAGAACGCCGAGCCGCCGTGGGACCCGGATCCGCTTCCCTGAGGTTGGCAGAGTGTTTCGTAATGTTTTCAAAACACTGTCAAAGTACAATGGAATGCTCTGGACGATCGGGGGGGGTGGTCGGAAATCAGTAGTGGGGTGAACTTTTTTTCTGAGGGGATTGGGCTTATCAGGGGAACCTCTCCGGGCAGACACGAGGCATGGTGAAAGCCCACCTGAACACATCGATTTGGCCGCAGCTTTAAGTCATGCTGTATTACCCTAAAATCCCGAGTATTGTTCCGGGTGAAACGTACATAGCGTCCTTAATTCCGTATGACCACAAATAGGTGCATTTAGTTTTTAGCAAATACCTCCAGTCGAGTCCAGTCAAGGGCATTTTTGCAATTTCGTTTGAAGATTTGCTCACATTTCGATTAATTCCAGTATTTTGAGTGGTTTAATGAAAGAAATTGATGCAGGAAGTTCTGAGAACCGCCTCTTTTGACTTGCATAACTTTGCGGCTAGAGGCGGCGAGGCACGTTATTAGAGCGTCATTTGTATTGGTACGTCGCCAAATCGTACCGGAACTATACTCGGGATTTTAGGGTATATAGATCTACTTTAAGACTCCTATATCTTACCTTTAGCTTTCAGAAACCTCACCGTCATCCCGGTGTTGCCATAACTTCCCGCTCCTAATTTCTTCAAATACTCCCGTCGGAGTCTAGCGTGTGTGCCTGCCTCTGTTGCGCACACGATACTCCGCCGACTTTATACAAGGAAAATTTCGTAAGTTTTAAAGGAGCTTATCAAACTCTCGTTTAGCCCACTCCGTCTCCCGATTTCCCGTGGCCCCTCGACGCCGTCGGGGCTCCCCTCGTGCTCACCCCTTTCGCCCGCTCGGCCGATCAGCTGGGCACGTCCTGACGAGGTAGCTCGTCGAGTGGCCAACAACTCCCATCATCGCCCACCGTAATTCTGCTGGAATCCAGGTAAGCTGGAGGCTGTGTGGCACTCTAACTATCTGTTTTTTAGCACAACACATCAACCCTATCAACTCAAAAATCTTTGCCGCATGATCGAGCGTGTGTGCCTCCGCCGGTAAGTATTTTTCCTTCAACTTCTTGGGACCTCATATACCTTCACTTGTATTATCTGTGTTATTTTTATTTTTAACCGATCTTTTTAGTCGCTTGGCTTCGGCCTGCTACCACCCCAGCTCCCCACTCGCCGACGGGTCGTGGGTCGAAGAGCAGCTTGCCGAGCAGCGCGTCGTCGTCTTCTCCGGCGCTGCCCCGACTCAAGAGGATGTCTGCCGACACGTCGCTTCAAAACAGACTCCCCATGGCTTGCCATTCTTCGTTATGTCCCTGCCATCGCTTCTAGCTGCTGTGCAGCGATGGGCGAAAGCTATGCCCCGTGTCAAGTAAGTTTCGATTTCTGGATACTTCTAGGATAATTTTTAGGCCATTGTATTCTCTGCGCTGCAACGCCGACCCGGTTTTATGCCAGACACTGGCAGAGGCTGGACTCGGGTTCGAGGCATCAAGCGCTCGCCTTCTGGAGACTGCTCTAGACGTCTTGCCAGCTGGGGACATCCTCTATTCGAACCCATGCCTTACTCGCAAGGCCTTCAAGCACGCAAATGAAGTCGAGGTAAGGAACTCGTCGTATGCGTTAATAAGGCACTTTTCAGGTCGGCATGATCACCATCGAGTCCGAAAATGATCTCCTCAACGCGATCGCACACGCCTCGAACACCAAGTAAGCCGACTAGGTCGCCTTTTTTCAACCTGCTTTCAGACTGCTCATCCGCGTGTGCATGGCCTCATTCCTCCGCTGCTACACGGAGGATGTTGACACTCGTTTTGGCTGCACCTTCGATGAGGCTCGTCAGTTGATGCTCAGCGCTTTCGAACTTCGCGCTAAGGTCATCGGTATCAGGTTTGTTTAATAACTTGTATTCTATGGGGAATGCGTTCAAGCGATCTATTGATCATTCAGCTTCCACATGGGCTCTGGCCATCCGACACCAACCCTCTTCTACAAGGCTATCCGAGCCGCACGCCAACTCCTTGATGAGGGACGAGCCATGGGCCTTCCAATGGATACTGTATGCCTCGGTGGAGGCTTCTCCACCCTAGATGATGCCCACTTCGATCAGGTTTGGGTGAAGAACTTGGCAGTCTAACGAATACCTCTAGGTCGCCGACGTCATCAACCAGTCCATCGATGAATACTTCCCGGCGTCAACCGGCATTCGCCTGCTCGCCACACCGGGCCGGTTCTTCGCCACGGCCGCCTTCAGCCTGTGCACCACCGTCATCGGAAAGCAGGCCATTCAGGCGTGCGAGATCACCAATGATGGTTAGTTTCGGGCAAAATAGCAGCAAAGTTGGATGGGAATACTAAAACTGGACGCTTTAAAACCCGAGTTCCAGATGACGACACGGGCCCCGGGTACATCTATCAGACCAACGAGGGCGTCTACGGTTCATTCATCTGTCGGCTAACCGACAACTGCGAACCGAAATGCCGTCCGCTTGATGATTTGCCGCATCACGATGAGCTTCATCACGCCACTGTACTCGGACCAAACGTTGATGGTATGTTTTAGAATTTTGAAAAATAAGGTCCTTTTCTTTTTCAAAAAGATGCTTTCCCAGTCCCTTAAGGCATCTATCAGGGGGTTTCTTCTTATCTAACGGATTACCTTAATATACAATTTAGGCAGTGACGTAGCCCAGCAACAAGCCCTCCTCCCACAGCTGTCGCTCGGTGAATGGCTACTGTGGGACAACATGGGTGCCTATTCGATGCCACTCGATTCGGATGTGCCCGCCCTGCCCGTCTACTACTATGATACGCGAAAGGCTTGGTATGTTGCTTCCTGAATCACTAAATACTGTCTTTTTCCAGGGACGGTCGCTTCAACCCCTCCCTAAAACGCATCGATTCTGAAGGCGGCTTCTCGGTTTGTGCTATGGGTAGTGAAGGCGGCTCACAGCCTGTCTCTGATGCCGAAGAAGAAGAAGACGTCGATTATGACGAGGATATGGAAGAGGACGTCGAAGACGTCAGCCGATGCCTGCGTCGCTTTTTCCGTAATGATATGAAGCATTTCTACGTTTAGATATATTGTTCTCCTCCGTATTTGTTAGAATTTGTTGGTTGTAGCCGTGCCGGAGTATTTGATTCGAGTCGCTAGTCGGGATCTAACTTTAGAATTGAAATTCCTATTTAACAAGTTTTTAATATTTACCCCCTAATCCTTCCCTCATATCAAAATCCCCTTTCTTTCTTTCCGAATTGTTGACAAATTGCAAAATTGATATTTGGATGGTACCTCTCGCCCCCCTATCTTCTCTTCGGCACATGATTCCGCTTCGAATTCTTTCAAACATTGTGGCCCGCAATTTCTTTCCCCCGCCTCTATTATTCCATGACCCCATTTCGTGAACCTCTAGCCGTCGTTTAAAGGGGCCGTGAAGCACAAAATTGTGACTGAATTTCGTTCAAAGATTCCCGCCTTCACAGCCCCCTCTTTAATAACTATAATTGTTATATTGCGGTATTTTATGGTGAATAAATGTTGTTGGGAGATTTCGGAGGCATGAAATTGTAGAAAACAGACAGAGATACAAGTAGAGACAGACGGACAGACGCAAACCAGTTGAAAGTAGAGCCATGATTTAGACTGACACCCGCCGGCGCCCCTTTTGGGGACCCTCCCTTTTTGGGCCTCTCCCCCTCTCCCCGATCCATCCTCCGTTGTGGTCTAGTGGTTAGGATTTATGGCTCTCACCCATAAGGCCCGGGTTCGATTCCCGGCAACGGAAGAACCTTTTGCTTTTTAGATTTTGACTCCAAAATGGTTTTTGCGTCCCGTTACTTTCCTGATTTTGGCTTTATGATCCCGCTAACCACTCGGATACCCACATTTATTTGTAAAGCCGGAATTAGGGAAGGGGAATATATGGCGGATGAGGAAGGGCTGGGATATCTCTTGCTCTATGATGATATCCCCCTAGTATGTCTGTCTGTCTGTCAGACGCCGAGTAGTGGCTGTGGGCCATAACTCGATTTGAGGCTTCTCCTCCTCGCCCTATCCCTCTTCTCATTCTTGATCCCCCTCATAGACGTCCCCATCTTGTTGCTCCGCGTTGTCGAACTGAAAATGGGCATGATTTAGGGGGCACGCCCCGGCTTGTCGTTGACCAAAAGTTGCCATGTTTACATTGAATTTTTGCGTTTTTGACTTAAAAAGCATGCAAAAGCATTTTTAATTTTCGAGAAAATTGTTGATCTCCTGAAGCGTCGTGATACAATGATGCTCACATCGATAAGCTTAAAATAAATATCACGTACCTTCAGCTAGTGCTGCTTTTAGTTTTCGGGGGCGTCAACGGGGCATCCAATCACAAAATTCCACTTGAATACTCCACCCTCGAACACAATCCCATCAGCGCTTCGAAAGGGAGGGGGCATCTAAAAGTGCTCGCCTACCTTTTTTGTGCGCGGTTTTTGAGTTATTCGAGATTTCGGGTGATTGGATTTTATATAAATGCCTCAACTATCAGCATTATCCTCCCTAGATGCCATTGTTGTCGAGCGGAAAGCGTGGACTTTACCCACGCCCAAAAGAAGGATCGGGACCCGGCCCGCCGCCCTGTGCATCTGCCACGACATTTAAAGAGGCTCTTCTCGCATCTAGGCAGCGAATATGTGGCAAAGTGGTGAGTGCAAGGGACGGGTTTAGGCTTAGGCTTTAGGCTTAGGCTTTGACTTGGACTTAGGCTTAGGTTTCGCTTGGGCTTAGGCTTAAGCTTAAGTTCAGGCTTAGGTTTAGGCTTACGCTTGGGCGTAAACTTAGACTCAGCCTCTGAGATAAAGATTTTGGCGAGTAGGCGAAAGCCCAAGCCGACCTAACTTTGAGGCCTGCCCAACTTTGCTTGCCTGTACCTCTGATTTGCTGGGTGTGTTGCTTGCCGACCCTTTAACCCCCATAAATGTACAGCGCTCTCCCCACTTTGCCCGCAGCGAATCCGGCAAAGAGCTGGCTAATCGAGTTATCCGGGATACGGTATTCCGACACAATACTATTGACGAAGAGGCGTCTGGCGGGAGTCTGGATAGTCCAAGGAGAGTCAAGGTATGCCTTTTCCATTACGGTACCTTGAAATGATTAAGGTGGCTCAACTAGCCGGCAAAGGCGGGGAAACTGCGCAAGAATGGTCCGGCGAGGATGTGCCGGAAGCGCTGCTCGATATGGTACAACTGCATGAAGGCCGGAACCGAGCTCTTGGTACGGTGGGAAGGGCGCGGTTTAGGGGACAAAATTCTTTAATTTATGGACCTTCAGATCATGGGAACGCAGCCACACGTCGTCTCAAGTTCCGCCTCGGTGATCGGTCGTATGTGGTGGATGGTGGGTTGAGGGAAACGGTTAAAATTTCGACAGTTAAAATACCGAAATTTGACAATACCGACGGCCTTAATGCCGAGAAGTCAAATGTTGAAGCGGAAATGCCAACAACTGAAATTCCAGAATGCCGACAAGCAGTCGAATTCGCATGTCTTCACCTAAAAATTGTTCCTAAGCCCCGGCCTAAGCCTAAAAATTCTTCACATAAAATCTATCCGTTTCGCTTGTCGGCATTAAGAACGTCGTTATCTCACCTGTCGGCATTTTGAACGAATTTCGAAAGTCATCATTTTCAAGGCCATTTTGAAGGTTTCTAAGCCGTCGGCATTTTAAATCAGCCCGAGAAATGGGGTTGCACTTTACAAAAAGTCAATTTCGAAGGGGAATCGCAAAGGAGGAATTGCCTTCCCCTCCCGCGTTAATACCTCACAAATATGTGGGCCCGGGTGATGGTGATGAATCGGGGCAAACACCAGTCTCCGCCCATCAAATTGGCCTCCGAAAAATTCGGGCACACGCTCTGCCACCACCCACGCACACAACAGTCGATTTTAGCTAGATTACAGATTATTTCTAAAGGTTTCTAGGAATTTGTGCTTACTTTGGCGGTCTCGTAGTTCTTCGGCTGATATTCGGGATTGACACCTGCCAAGTGACACCCGCCGGCGCCCCCTTCAGGGACCCTCCCTTTTTGGGCCACTCCCCCTCGCTTCCAACCATCCTCCGTTGTGGTCTAGTGGTTAGGATTTATGGCTCTCACCCATAAGGCCCGGGTTCGATTCCCGGCAACGGAAGAATTTTTTGCTTTTTGGAAGATTGAAGGGAAATCGCCTTTTTACATATTATTCTTTGTTCATTTGCTACCATAATTGGTTTCGTTGTATACGCTTAAATCCATGGCGTCACTTTTTCCGCCGGGCTCGAAGAGCACGGTTTGACGACGCGGGTCCCACGACGAAGTGGCAATTATTTTGATTTGCTGGGGCATCTCAGGCACAGAAAACCCGATTTTCGGTGGACCTAGGGGGGTAAAATTATGGGTGAGCGGAAACCGGTAGTTTGCGGGTTGGGTGGCTTTTGGCCCAGATGGTCCCCTACTTGGGCTCAGGCTGGCTAGGTTTTCGAACTCTCCTGGCACTGTCCCTTTAATTTTGGCAAATTCTATATAGAATTATTTGTTAATTTTAATATTGTGCTTATTTTTGTTTTTGACAGCTCATAAAATCTACCCCCGTTCCCCTAAAAAAACAATAACTAAAAGGTGAAGCCCGAGATGCGGCTGTGTATTCGTGCCATCCCTCTCCCTTCTCTCCTGCTCATCTTCCTCCTCCTCCTTCGGCTCTAATAAGCGTGGGCATCTCCGTTTTCTGCGTCGTGGCCAAGGAGGAGAACAAGAAAGAAGGAGATATAGGGTGCAAAATAGAAAACAAAAAATATGCTGGCCCCGCCCCCCTTGGCGCATCAACCTTCTGATCCTCAGTTATGCCTTATGCCAATTTCCCCTCCTTCGCTCATTATTCAAATCCGGCGCATCGCATTAAAGTCCCGAATTTCGTGGCGTAACTGGATCCTGAGGCGGGCGCTTTCAAGTAGATTTGTAGTATAGGGTTTTATGTAAATTTGGAATGAGATTTTGAAGTGCTCTGGAATGATTCTAAACATTCACACGTTCAATACCGTCGAATTGTAGCATTAAAAATTAAAAATTAAGATAATTTAAAAACAACCAGAAAAATAAGCGCTAATATAGTGATTTTGGAATTGGTATCATAATATCGAAAATCATAATGTCGAAACTCATAATGTCGAAATTCATAATGTCGAAATTTCATAATGTCGAAATGTCATAATGTCGAAATTTCATAATGTCGAAATTTCATAATGTCGAAATTTCATAATGTCGAAATTTACATAGGCTAATTACCGGTGAAACCGCCAAATCCTAGCCAAAAAAAATTTTTCCACCTTCTATTTTTTTATCTTACCAGGGTTGAAAAACCGCTTCGCGGCTTTTCAACCCTGGCCCCGTCTAGGATTTATGACACATTGCATAATTCTTGCCGAAACCGATGACCAAGAAATGAAAACCACGCCCTCCCTTACTTTTTATAAGCCATTTCCACTTCCGGCGCATGCTAATTTTTCCCTAACAAAGAGGGAAGCCAATATTTTTCCAAAAACCTAATTTTAATAGGGAAAATAGCAATTTTTTAAAGATTTTATGTGGGTGCAGTCGATTCCAGCCCCTTCTTTACCCTATGACGTTTCTTCCCTACCGAAAAAATGCTTCCCTGAACCTGTAGGTGCGGAACATCCAAACGGAAGCGCATGCAAATATACACACACACACTATATTTTTTTATATATAGTAGGATTTCACGACAACATTTTTTTCTAGAATTCGGGGACTTTACCCCTACTGCTACTACTAGTATCGGTTGTTTTACCCCCCTTCAAAAAACACATACCACCAAGTCAATTTTTGTTTTACATGCCATATTTCTTATACTACCACAAAACGTGTTTGTACGCGTCAAAACAGGCGGTGACTCAAGCGACAGCTGACACCCGCAAACCGTTTTCGAACGTGGGGCGGTTTTGGGCCCCAACTGGGAAAGGGCCCCCAACGTAGGGAAGGGACGTTTGGGACCCAACTGGGAAAGGACCCCCAACTGGGAAAGGGACCCAACGTAGGGAAAGGGTTTTTTCGGGTCAGTTGCGAAAACTAACAGCTGACCGCAGGAGGCATAAATAGAGAGACTTCCCCTTCAATTTCACAAAGATGGAACGTAAACCTTTTAAATTCCAGCATCCTTGTTCTATTTTTGTGTTTTGTCAATCCTTGGGCGGCAAGACAACATGGACAATGAAATTTCTCGAATATTTAGAAGAAATTCTAGACGGCCACAAAGGAATCCAAGACATTTACTACTTTACCGGATCAAAACATGAAATTGAAGAAAAATATCCAGCAACGCCTTCCAATTTTCATATATTTGAGGGTCCACCAAGCGACCAGCAAATCGAAAGCTTCAAAAATGCCATCGTAATCCTTGACGATTTGATGCTTGACATGAAAGAAAGCGTGATGGCGGCTTTGACTTCGCGAATTACTCACCACCAAAACTGTACACTAATTTTCCTAAGTCAAGACGCATTTCGGACCCGGCGTACCGCCCGCATCAATGCAAACTACATTGTCCTTTTAAGATCTGTATCAGACCTACTACAAGCTCGCCAAGTGGGTCTACAGTGCTTTCCTAACCAATTTCCTTATTTCTGGGACAGTTATCTCGATGCAACTGCAAAACCTTATCAATATCTCGTAATCAATTGTCATCCAAATTTGGAAAATCGAAACGAACGTCTCGTTACAGACATTTTTCCAGATAAAAGGCAAATTTTTTACCTACCCAAGTAGTCATTTTCGAAAATGCAAGGTCGTCCACACAACCTGCAAATTTTTCACAAAATTGACAAAGCTACAAACCCAAAAGTGGTGATTCGAAAAGCAACCGACAAAGAAATACAAACCCTTGTCGAATTTATTTACAACCTAACCATAGGTACCGTACCTCTCTATAAATACGAGAAATCAAGCCTTCTACCACATTTGGCTACTTTGCAAACCTTGAGTAAGCTACGCGATTTTACAAAGGCGCGGCAAACACTTTTGCTTCACGAAAAACTACTAAAAGTTATTACGAAACCTGCGTTGGCATTTGAGAATGACAGCTTCGAGAAAAAGTTTCGAAAAGATGGTCCTTGTACCATACGACGAGCAGCAAGGTGAAGGTTATGCTCATACACCTCGTGAGAAAATTGTTGAGCAAGCCAAAGAAACTGAACAACAAATGGCAAACGTACTACAAAGTACACTTCCCGATGATATGAAAATGCAAATGTATAACAAGTTTCTCAATTCCTTGACACAACTTGTCCAAGAAATTCGCAAGTTTGACCCCTTGCCTACACAAATTTTGAAAACGACGATAGTTGAAACCGCCAGAGATCAGACGGCCACGCAAAATACACAAAATAAAGCGAAGGGCTCTGCGAAAAGGGCACCGCGAAAGGTTTTGCAACAAAATCCATATGAAAAAAAGCTATAAACTTTTGGCAAAGCACGTCAAGACGGACAATAAGAATAGAGTCTTGGATACGCAAGGTGAAACTATTGAAGGTAGCAACCTGTTTGAAATTGCAAGGGCGGCAGCCAGTGAAACCAAACGACCATTTCCCGTAGGTTACGAAGACGCTTATCACCAAGTGCAAGCAAAAACTCCACGGCTTGTGAAACAATTGAACGAACCCGTGTTTACACCACGTACAATTCAAAGCATACAAAAGGAAATTTTTCCATCTAGCCAGACCACAACTAGTCCACCCTTGGCGACTGACGAAAAAGTTTCAACCGGTGACTTGGTCAAGCGCGTTAGACAACTTCAGCGGGAGATCCTAGAAAAGCGCAAATTGAAGTCCGAAGCCTGGGATGGCGATGACGAAGACCAAACCGGTAGTGGTACCAAAAAAAGGTTCAAAGTCGCAAAGTATCACTAAAATACTTGATCTTCTATATACTGACCCTGAGTCGAATATTGCTTTTACGTCAAGAAATAATCTTGTGGCAGAAGCTAAAAAATATGGCATCACAAAGCGACAAGTTGATACATATCTGCAAACTAAAAATTCTTACGTTCTTCATAGGCGAGTTCTACACAAGTTTCCAAGAAAAAAGTTTATTGGAACTAGCATGAACAGTCACCATGTCGCAGATCTTGCCGACTTTCAGAAAATTAAGCAATACAATGACGGGCAACGCTATATTTTGGTAGTTGTAGACTTGTTTTCGCGAAAAACCTACGCCAAACCTCTACTAAACAAGAAACCTCAAAGTGTCAAACGACGTTTTGAGCAAATTTACAAGGAAATTGGTGATCCGCCACACTATTTGACGACAGATCAAGGGCTTGAATTTACCGGTGAACCAATAAGGCGCTACCTCAAAAACAACGAAATTCGTCACATTTTAACAAAGGGAACCGCTAAGGCAGCACCAGCTGAACGTAAAATTCGTGATCTCAAGTCGCGCATCTACAAATATTTCACCGAAAACAACACTTACAATTGGGTTGAAGTGCTACCGAAAATCGTTGAGG